AAAATCACTGTGTTCAAACGGCATAATGGACATAAATATTGATTAACAATTATTAAACTATTCTACACTAATTTAAGTTCTAAAGAGAGAAAAAAACGATGAGCACTGTTTCAATAGCATGTAGAAGGTCTTGAAACCATATTAGCTCACATGTTATGCATAGCATTAGCATGAGATAATTTTACATAGTTGTTTTGCCTATTAGTTTCTTCTATGAATTTATTGTGTAATACATATAGATAGAGTTATTCGATTAAAATTATAGCTTTTAAAGATAATTTTATGAGAAAAGGGAAAAAATTTTCGTTTATACTGAATCTTAACCAATTTTGGGTTATTAATCAGAAAATAAATAAATAAATAAATAAAGTTCAGCTGCCATTTCATATATATATATATATATATATATATATATATATATGATCCAATGAGAAAAAAAGTAAAAAAAAAAACTCTTTTATTAGATTATGAACTTTTTTATAAAAAATTATTTGTCTATCATGGCTATCTAAAATTATGAGTTTCATATATATATATTGTTTGATAATCACACAGTAACAAACTTGAATAAGCACACAGTAAAACAAAAATAAAAAAATAATATGGAAAAAAAAAAAGAATGATATCAACTTAAAGTAACAAAGACAAACTTTCTTTTAACTTTTCTCAGTGCATGCAATAGACAAGCATTGTAAAAAAACTACAATAAAGGTTACAATATCCCTAATCCCCCCCAAAAAAAAGGCATGCCAGAAGCAATAATTTTAACCGTTTGACAATTTTTTTTTTTATAATTTTAACAGTTTGACAGGAAAAGTTGTTAAATTTTACTGGTGAACTCAGCCTGCTGAGCTAAGTATGATGCAAAAAGTTTTTTCCTTTAAGCTGATTGTAGTACCAGTCTTTTCTTACTGAAAAGGCAGTGCAGTTGCTGGCTGCTGAGGTAAGGGCCAGAACAACAAGCGTCCGATTTAGAGTACACGGACCAGATTCAAGAAAAAGATAGGAGTTGGTGCATCCAATCATATTTAATCATTTATTTTTGCGAACAATCATATTTTGCCACTGAAATTGCATTTGATCACAATGAGATATATGAATTTTAATGTCACGTTTGGTTGGCGAAATAAAATAAAAAATAAAAAATATTTTATAAGAATAAAAAATAAAAAAATAGATATGTGTTATGAAATTTGATTTATTAAAATAGAATAGAGGAAAATTTAATATTAATATATTTGATTATTTTAAAAAATATAGATGGAATATGTCTAAAAGATCATTTTACTTTTATAATTTATTATAAATTTTATTATTAATAATAAGTTAATATAATAATTAATTATTAATTAATTAAAATTAATTTAATAATATTAAATACTAATATTAATTTAATATTAGTAAATATTAATTTAGCAATATTAACTATGGTTTAATAATATTAAATATTAAGAATTATCTTAAATATTAGTTTAATTATATTAAATATTAATTTAATAATATTTCATATTAATTGACTAATATTAAATAAATAATTTAATAAATAGGATTAAATATTAATTTAATAATATAAAATATTCATTTAATAATCTTAAATATTAATTGAATAATATTAAATATTACTTTAATATTGATTTTCAATTTTGATATTATTCAATATTATTTGAATATTATTAAAATTACTTTAATACTATTCAATATTATTTGAATTTTAAAAAATATTTATTTAATATTATTAAATAATTAATTTAATAAATATGATTACATATAATTTTAAAAATATTAAATATTGATTTATTATTAAATATTAATTTAATATTTTTAGTATAATTAAGTATTAATTTAATAACAAATATTAATTTCTTATTAATTTAATATTATTTAATTTAATAATTTGAAATAATAATTTAGTAATATTGGATATTAATTTAATAATATTGAATGTTAATTTCAGAATATTAAATATTAAAATTATAATATTAAATAAAAATTTAATATGATTTAATTAATTTAATATTAATTAATTATTTTGAATATTATTTTAATACTATGTAATTAATTTAATATTAAACTAAGTTTAATATTATTATTTAATTAATATTAATATTATCTAACATTAAATAATTAATTTTAATCATATTTTTAGAATATTTAGTTAATGTAATAATTTTTTAATATTATTAAATCAAATAAATATTATTATTTAATAATATTTAAATATATAATAATATGCAATTAATACTATTTTGACATTGATTAATTAATAAAAAATGACATGGCAAAAGTTTGCGGTGAATGTTCTGTTTCCTCACACATGGACAATATTGGAAGTCTAAGATATGTCCAAGGATATAATTGTCAAAAAAAAATGTTAACTCTATTCCATAGAGAATGGAATAGCCATTCTTTAACGGGTGTTCTAAATATACCATCAAAATTATTTTATGTATCTCCAAAATTTTTTTTCAAAAATCCTCACATACCAAATGTCAATTTTAACCTTTAATAAATGATAAAAATATTTTTAATAAATTATACACTCAAAAATCATATTTTATTTCTCGAAAATAAAATTTTAAGTATTATGTTATGTTATTGAAAATCAATTTCCAAGAAAGCATCATAATTCTAAAAAATAGATTACTTAGGACAAAATATATCTTTCAAAAATTTATTTTCTGAGACTTGTATTGTTTTCTTGGAAATAAATAATACAAGTCTCGAAAATCTGATTCAAAGAATACATTAAATTTTTTAAAAATTATATTTAATTATAAACTCTTAACAACAGAAAAATCGAGATATATAAAAATGAAACCACTAAAAAATATCATCAACTCGACATATGAGATGTATAAGTCGGACAATAGAAACATTTAATCTTTCAACTAAATATTGTTTGATAAATAATATTCGTAATATTTATCGAATTCTAATTAATGTGCATTTGAAAAAAAATCATTAATTATGAAATGTGCTTGTGTAAGTACTTATGGCACCATTTGCAATGAGTCAATCACGCTTTATTGCACATAGTATAGCGACTAATTTATATGAGTGTCTTTTCATATTTAGCAATTCATTTTAGATGCATATTTATCAAAATTACAAAAATATTATAAATGTTATTGAATAGATGGTACTTATTATCAAAAGATTAGAGGTCGTTATTGGTGAATTTGTCCTATCCAAAAAATTAAAACCTTCAAACTTCTTGCATATAAAGATTCGAGAAGTTTTAACTCTTTTTATATATCTTATATTTGAAAAAATTAAAATTTATTGAAAATAAATATCTAAAAAGCTTTGAGAAAATGAATATTCAAAAAGTTTCAAAGTTTTTTAAATATTTATTTTTAAAAAGTTTGATATCAACAAATGAAGGAAAAATAAGAAAAAAAATAAAAAAAGTCAAAATGAAAGGTAGCAGTAAAAAATTAAATTTTAAATTTGAGGTGTATATAAAAATAAAATATATATAATATTAAATAAGAAAAAAAAAGGAGTGATTTACTAACTAAATAAATTCCACCATATTCTCTGGTGTTATCAAAGGTGCAAAGTTGGTTGCTAGCTGGTCATCTTATTGGTTGAATCTAATGATAACTAAGTCAACACTTTGACTGTACTTTTCTTTACTAGCTAGGGCTAGGGTAAATGATTGATTCAATTGCCCAATGCTGGCCTCCAATGCCTTTTTGATCAGACAAGGCACATTCTTTCGTACTGCATTTTTTCCTACGTAAAATTAATTTTAAAAAGCTTTTATTTCATCATCCTTATATATTACAACTTACAAAGCTGTGAATTGAATAACCGAATTATTTCGAGTTAGTTTTAAGAAAAAATTAGATATTTTGAGTTGGATTCAAATTAAAAAAAAAATCATTTCAAATACATATTATTTTAGATTGAATCACTTTAAATTATTTTGATTAATATTTAATAATTTCTATGGTCCTTTATGAAAAAGGTTTTATGCTATTGGTGGGTGCTTTAAAGAGAGTGGAATTTCATTGTGTTTTCCAAGTTCTGTATCTTCATGCTCTTAGCATCCTATTCCAACCACAAAAATTACAAGAAAAAGAAAAAAAAAAGCAAATACAAGACAAAGAGATATTTGAATAAAGTTAAAAAAAAAAAAAAGAAAGCCTAAAGGTGAGTGTCTTCTCTAACCCTCACTCCTCCTGCCGGTCTCTGTTATTAGGCCCCTATGTAGAAATGGACATTTCCATGTTTTTCAGCTGCTAATTGTTTATATGCGGCTATTGCTAGCTGCCCCACTTTTTTCTTTCTTTCTTCCTTTTTTTTAACATCCTTTTCTTCTCTCTCACACACATTAATTTAAATGTGCTTCCTTATCAAACGTGCCTGCATCAAATGATTTGAAAAAGTTGGAACAGATGAGTACTCTAAGTCACTGCAATAAGATAGAGAAAAGGGAAAGGAGCGTATATTGTCGGTGAAAATAGTTTTTGCTTTTTTTTTTTTTCAATTTTAATGTTAAACAATAAAAAAATTATGGTTTTTTAGTTTAAAATTTTGGTTAGCTAATCCAAATTAAAAAATTGCTCAGTAGTAAAAAAATACGTTTAAAATAAAAAATATTTTATTATCTATATATTTTTAAATATTTTATTATTTTATGAATATCCTTTAGACATGTCAATTATTTACAATTTTTTTATAGAAATACCAAGCATTTAAAAATTTTAACTGCACTTTTTAAACATACTTTTTTTAATCTAAAATTTAAAAATATTAAAAACTTAAAATTTTTAATTACATTTTTTAAATGTACTTTGTTTAACTGCAATAGTAATGTTAATCTAACCTAAAAAGCAAAAGCAATTTATCAAAAAAAATTGTAATTTCCCTCATGAGAAACAAGCAAAAGCCTATATCATGAAAGGAAAAAACCAATAAATAAGCTAAATGATTTGACAATTGAGTGTTGAATTTTTAATTTTAGTGATTAAATTCAAATAGATGAGTAAAACAAACCAAGAAAGAAAAGAAGAAATAAAGGGGAAATCATTTTTTTTTTCTTTATAGTTAAGAGAGTCTTCAAACCACATCTCTCTTTCTTTTAGTTATTATCATCATATATTTGTAAACTGCAGGGAAGAAAACAGCAAAGAATTTGACTCTGACAAGATCAGCAAAACTACATAACCAAAAGCCTAAAAAGATTTTCTTCCATGATAGACGTTTAGACAGATGCAGCCTCGTCTGTTTTTAGCCATTCAATTGGATTGGAATATGGTACTTTTTCTGTTTCTGCAACATCCTCTGATGGGTTCCTTTTCCCCCCCTTTTTATTAAATTTCATTCTTTATCAGAAGCTGATTTTTTCTTTGATGGTTTTAAAATTTTGTGTCACCCTTGATGAGCAAATCTATCATCTCAATACCTTAAATTGTTTGTTTCTCTCTCCCTCTCTTTCTCTTTCTCTGTCTATATATAACCAACTTTCTCCAATATTTTACATCTTTCTCTTTTCTATTCTCATCTTTCTTCTTCACTTCCTTGAAACATAGCTCAGTTTTCTTTTCTTTTCTTTTTTTTTTTTTTTCATTTCCAAGTTACAGAAGATCAGATCAGGATTGCTAAAGTTCTCTCCTTATGTGCAGTGGGTTAACTTTTTTCCAGGTCATGTCCAGAAAAGCAAGGTTCTTGTCCTCATCAAATTGCAATGAATTGAACATCAAAATGGGCTGAATTGTTAATTTCAAGCCAACTTCTAGTCTTTACAAAGTTGTTGGACGTTTTTTAAAGAAAAAACTTGCGCAGTTTCCGTACACTGCAAGAAGTGAGTTTTTTTTTTTTGAGGGGGAGGGGGGGGGGGAGAAGGGGGGCTTTCAAATCAAGATGGCGACGTACTTTCATGGGAGCTCAGAATTCCAAGCTGCTTCTGCTGCTACACCTGATGGGATGCAAACACTCTATCTCATGAACCCCAACTACGTACCCTACTCTGACACACACCAACCAGCTGCTGCCACTAACATGTTCTTCTTAAACCCCGCCGGCAACGCGTTAAACCCCACAAGCTTACCCCACGCGCCAGCACTTAGCCATCACCACCTTCTCCGTCTCCCACTCCCAACACCGACTTCTTCGATAGGACCGGCCAATTCGGATGATCCCCACCGTATATCATCACCCCTTCATGGTATACTCTCCGGTATCCACTATAACTTGTGGGGCTCAAGTATCGATCATCAGAATTCACCAGGAAGTAGCCATCCTCAGGTTGTGTCGGCAGCAGAGAACTCGGGTGGGGCCCACGATGTTGCATCGCAGTTGGGGTTACGTCGGCCGGTGGTGTCACCAAGGCAAGGTTTATCCCTGAGTCTATCATCCCAACAGGCGCCTTATAGGTCAAGTAATGCTGAAACAGATATCCAAGGGCAACCTCAAGTCCCTACTATATCACTGGCTGATGATACGAGGATATCTGGGAATTCGCCATCGTCGGTTTCCGTCGTTTGGAATGGGATTCCCGGGGTTCAAAGTGGTTTTTTGGGATCAAAGTACTTGAAAGCAACCCAAGAGCTTCTTGATGAAGTTGTTAATGTGGGGAAAGGGATAAAAACTGACGTGTCTGAGGGGACCAAGGAGAAGATAAAGATGAACAAAGAATCGGTGGCTGCTGTGACAGAAGAGGGTTCAAGTGCTGGTGAAAATGCGGCTAAACGTGGAGCTGAGCTCACCGCAGCACAAAGACAGGAGCTCCTGATGAAGAAGGCAAAACTTGTCAGCATGCTTGATGAGGTTTGCTTATTTTATGCCCTTTTTAAGTTCTTAATTATTAACTTCTCTGAAATTTGATTATTGGTTTCAATTCCCATCATATTTTTGAAATCGAAGATAAATTTTAATTTTAATTATCAGGATAAATTTTTATGTAGATTTTTACTGATTTTCCTTTTTTTTTTTCCATTGGTTATGAACTTGAAGGTGGAGCAAAGATACAGGCAGTACTATCACCACATTCAAATTGTGGTTTCTTCTTTCGAGAAGGCGTTAGGGTTTGGGGCAGCACAATCGTACACAGCACTTGCTTTGAAGACAATGTCAAAGCAATTCCGCTGTCTTAAAGACGCAGTATCTGGACAAATCAAAGCCACAAACAAGAGTTTAGGAGAAGAGGATTGCTTGGGTGTTAAAGTTGAGGGTTCTAGACCAAGATATGTAGATCATCAGCTTCGACAACAGCGGGCGCTGCAGCAGTTGGGAATGATCCAGCGCAATGCTTGGAGACCCCAGAGAGGATTACCTGAACGAGCTGTTTCTATTCTTCGTTCTTGGCTTTTCGAGCATTTCCTTCATCCGTATTTACTTCTTTGACTATAAAAGTTGAACTAGAAATCCTCTTCGTCGATGATATCATTCATAGATTATGTATGGCTCATTCGAAATTCCTTTACTTTGTGGGTGCAGGTATCCTAAAGATTCAGACAAACACATTCTTGCTAAACAAACAGGGCTTACTAGAAGCCAGGTATGTGCTCTCATTTCAATGTATTTACTGTCTTTCTTTGATTGATATACTTTACTCATCATAGGGAAGAAATAAAGTATTGATATACAAATGAACTTGAAACGCAGGTGTCAAACTGGTTTATAAATGCTCGAGTTCGCCTTTGGAAGCCAATGGTTGAAGAAATGTATTTGGAGGAAGTCAAGGAACAAGAAAGAAATTGCAATGAAGAGAATGCAAACAAAAGCGAGCAAAAGGCGTCAGGGTCTAGCTCCAGTGCCCAGCAAGAAAGTGTGTCACTTAAGATGGATCAAGTTAATAAAACTCTATCCAAGCCTGACAAATCCATCAATCAGAATACTTCCCCAACCGAATTTTCCAACTCCACAATCTCTACACCTCCCATGGGAGGGTCCCTTCTGCCACAAACAGCCTTCAAACTCATTGGATCATCTGACCTTGATGGTGCTGCACAAAGAAGCCCAAAAAAGCCAAGGAGTATTAATGACTTGCAGAATTCCCCTAGTAGCATCCTTTCAATGGACATGGAAATGAAGCAAGTTGAAACCAGGGAAATCAACATAAATTTCGGTGATGAAAGGCTATCCAAGGACAGTTACTCATTTTTAACTGGAACGGCTAATCAAGGCAGTGAATTTGGCACATGCAGCACTATGGGAGAGATAGGGAGGTTTGATCCTGAGCAGCTGATACCAAGGTTTCATGGAAACAGTGTTTCCCTCACCCTTGGCCTTCCCCATTGTGAGAATCTATCAGTATCGGGGAACCAGCAAAACTTACTATCGCACCAGAACATTCAGCTAGGGAGAAGGTTAGAATTGATCAACACCCAACAAAGTTCTCATTCGAGCACCGGTTATGGCAATATTGAGATGCAAAACAGGAAAAGGTTTGCTGCGCAATTGTTGCCAGATTTTGTTGCCTGAAGAGAATTCAAATTCACAATGCATTCGCTTTAACTCTATGCGCTGCTGGGCAGTTTATATTTCTTCTTTTGCCTTCTTGAAACACTTCAGGTAAGTTAAATCATGACTCTGATGCCTAAGCATCCATCAATGAAAGCGGAAGAACAGGAAAATAACCTTTCCAAGTTCAGTTTCTATTTATATATATCATGCTGGCTCTACATGTACTGTGTAGAAAGAAAGATAGTTAGTATATATAGGTAATATTCTTACATATGTTTGGCTTGAATGAGTAAGGTTGAGCATTGTATATCATATTAATACATTTGGAATTGATATTTGAAAGATTTGCTGTATATGTATATGCAAATTGGTTATTCGAGTGCATTCAATCAATATTATTCCCTTTTGTCTGAATATATTTTAATTTCTAGTTTTCTACATTTATAGTTTTAACGAGGTTGTGAGTTTGGACTTTTTGTATGTGAAATATTATGATAAAAAATTTTAAAAATTGACAATTACTAATTTATTGATAAAATATTTTCAATAATTAAGATTTAAATCCTAATAAACTAAAAGAAAGTTTACGAAATTTCATGCATGCTTATAATATTTTTCGTTCTGATTACCTATGAATTTAAAACTACAAAAGGAAATGTATAAATTTTATTGGACTATAAGGTTACACCTTGCTTTACTAACTGATTGCAACAGCAGCTTTTGGGGGAAATTAAGTCAGATTAGGGTTCAATGGATTGGAGAAAAGGAGTTTTTATTGGACACTAAAGCATAGATACTATTCGAACAATCACTGTTTTTTTTTTTTTTCATTTGAATCTTAGTTTCATTAATTTAGTCGGAAATTTAACTCAATTTCACAAATGTGTTTTACAAATATTTTAGTTAAGAGTATGTTTCATTTGGAGAAATCTGTTTGTTGGAAGTCTATAGATAAATATATCATAAACCCATTAATTATAATAAGTTTGTAAGTTGTAACCCTATTTTTTCATGTCAATAAAATTTTCTATGAGAGTTATTTTTTTCTTTCACAAATTACAGAACGTTAATTTCTTGTCCTTTGTCATGTATAACTATAGATTAAAATCTTATCTTTTGGGGATAATAATCAAATAAGTTCTCAAACTTTATTAAAAAAAAAATTTGTTCATTTATTATATGAAATTAAGATCACAACTTTTTTATATTATAATTAAGATCTTGACATTATAAAATATTCATTTTTATTAAATATTTTAGCTAAAGGATATAATTTATAAAAATTTTAACTCAGATTTATTTACATGAGTTGATAAATATTTAAGAGGATATTATTTTAAAAATTATGGTAATTAGACTTTATTTATCCATTTTTAAAATTTAATGAGTGTAATTATAATCAAATAAAATTCGTAATATTAATTTCGTTCTTATTTTTATTTTTAAATAAAATTTAAAATTTTGTTTACTTAATATTAAAAAAAGGGACCTTTTTCTTTTTTTTTTCCCGAAAAAAATGGGCCTTTTTCATCAAGAGAAAGCAAAGAGTTGGGCTTGTAACCCATTTCTAAAAATTATAAATTAATTATTTGGGCTGGGATTCAGAAAGAGAAGCCTAAGAAGAATAAAAGGGCATAGATTGGTTGATATTTGGAAGGCATAGAGCAACCGAAGAAAGAAAACGAAAATGGAGAAAGGAGAAGTGAATTGGAGTGAGGACGTAGAGGATCTGGTGACGGCCGGAGACACGCAAGCCGCAATCTTTCCAAAACCTCCTTCCCGAACTCCAAGCGACGTCGTCGTCTCTGGACGACCTCCGGTTAGCCTCTGCCCTCTCAAACTTAGCGCCTCTCTATTCCTTCATCGGCTTCTCCCTCAAGTCCGACGAACTTTTCTCTCACGCTTCCATCCTCAAACGACGTGCACACTCTTCAAGATACCCTTTTTCTTTTCTTTTTTTTTTTAAATTTCTTGTTAATAGAAATGTAAATAATTTTAAGGCCAAATATCCTGCGTTTTTTTTTTCTTTTAATTTCAGTGATGTAGGGTTTGCAAAGAAGGATTTGAGGGAGGATTTTTTAACATTGTCTAATCTTTCTTCGGCTGGAAATGACAAGCCGTTGACAATTGGTGCATCTCTATATAAACTCTTGAGCTTAACGTTTGTTTGATTGTTGCTTTTGCTACTTGTTTTTCGTTTCCGAATGCAAATATAATGTTTCGGTGCTTTAATATAAAAACGTTGCTTCTATAGTGCATTAGAGTGATTAGTTACGGGAAAACGTAATGGGTTTTCATTTAGAAGATTTTATTGCATTTATCTCTATGAATATTGTGGATGTGAATTACGAATATCAGGTGATGATGGTTCGCCACCCAAATCATCTTCAGATGATGGTATTTTTTTTTCCTTTTAATGATCACTTTTTTTTTTTTTTTGGTTTTCTGTCGTGTCCATATATTAGATTATGAATGACCTGTTACGAATCGTAATTCGGATTTTTCTACAGATCGTGAGGCAATTGCGGATAGTGAAGTTAATGCTTGCCTGGAGCATCATATCTTTGATTGCAGGATAGCAAAGTCACAGCCCCTAAGAGACGGGGAAGGGAAACATTTTCTTATAGAAAAAGTAAATTGTATGGTAAATGGCTCTCTGAGATGTCTGTTCACGAAGATACAGAGAATGAGGACGTGTGCAAAAACCCTGAAGCAAAGACAATGGAATGTAAGCCTTTATGTCTCTCAATTCAAGGTTTTGTTTCCACAAGTGCTCTGTATATGCACGAATGCACCTATTGTGATAGGCCAAGTTTAATGTTTTTAAATGTAGAAGATAGATAGCTCAGTCTTTTCTTAAATGAACCTATAAATTTTGTTTATTTGCTTGTTCCCAGGCCTTGATCTAATGGGATGTACAATGCCTTTCTAACTGAAATATTTAACACTATTAAACCTCTAAAACCTTGATTGATCACATTGGAAGGCAGATTTTAGTTTAATAGTCGATTCTCATGGTACTTTTTCTATAATGTCTTTCAAGATCTTGCTAATCTTTTAGGGATACAAATTATTTTGAATGCAGCTAAATATGGCACGTGTCATGTTCTTGTTTTGGTGGAATTTTCACCAAGCACTAGGACAACAGATCTAGAGAAGCTTTTTGAGGACTTTAGAGACTGAGGAGTTGTTATTCGCTGGGTCAATGATACAACAGCCCTTGCAGTATTTCAAACACCATCTATCAGTAATAACTACTAGCTTTGTTTATTCACGCTTCTTTTAAACTGTTTAGTGAATTGTGTGAAATAGATCTCTAAAGTTAGTTTGATGTAGGGCACTGTTATTTTTAAAGTGCATCGTTCAAGCTTGGGCTGCATACAAGCCTTCTCCTTAATTAACCAGGTGTCCTGGAACGTAATGCACTTGCCAGTTGTTAAGTAAGGAAAATGACAGGTTGAGGGAACAGGACTGTTTACAGTTAACTTTTTAGTTGGAATTGCAGACAGAGTTTTACTTTTCAAGTTATCAGCTTGAAGTGCATAGTGGTCTCAGTTTTCAGTTTGTCATGTTGTGATTACTTTTAGAATAGTTACTCAATGGTGCTTTGGTGCTGAGTAAAGTACTTCAGTACTGTAACAAGGAATTTATCCTATTTTAGAGGATGTGAAAGATAATTTTTGATGTCATCTGTCCCAGAATTAATGTCATGTTCAGGATGCTTGTGTGCCTTCAGAAGGTGCCTTTTCAGAAGGATGCTTTATTTGTTGTCAAGGAAGTAGCCAGCTTTTGGCTTGGTGAATTCAGGGAAAGTTGATGCGGGTGATGTATCTGAGACATGAATAGGATTTGCCTTTTGTAATTCTCTTATAGGAGGCTGTCGTTAATGATGTAATAATATTCTAAACCTTAGGAGCCAATGGGGGGTCAGAAAGGGTCTTGGTCTGATAAGAGCTGCTGTTACTTGCCAAAATGCTGGAGGTTGGGGTTGTATCCTAATTTCCTATCATAGCACCTCATTTCATTTGGGAACTGAAAGTGGTTAATAATTCTACCTTTGGTCTATGAATCTTGTAAACTTCAACAAAAGAACTTATTACAATTAGTGAAATATATCTATGTTGAAGATCTGGCTGGGCTTTGGCAATAATTTTACTTTAGCTTATGGTTCTTAAGTCATTTTTGATAGACATGGATTGAAGCATCTTTATATATTGTAACCAAATATCTATTAGTTCCTGATGCTGCACACTTTTGAAAGTGAGATGGTATCGCAAGTGGTGCTAATGGTGTTTCTTTGCTATAGTCGTGTGCTAATAGTTGTTTAAATTTAACATCTTGAATAAGTTTTATCTTACTTGAGTAGCATCTATATCTTTCAAATTTCAGAGAGATCCCACTTCCTGATTGTGGTAGTCTAGATATTTGCAACTATAAATCGCCTGAGGGTTCTAGGACAGTGCCTTTCTGCGACTGTTTACAGTTCAGACGGAAGTATTGAGATATGGATCATGAAACAATTTAAACTTTTAGGAGTCAAGGATCAAAGATTATGTCATTGGAGCACATCTACCACCGTAGTCGAGTCCATGGAAGAAGTCAACACAGCGAAGGAGCTGTTCAAGTTGTCTGTACCCTGAAGAATGGAGAGAATTTTTCTGCAGTACATGAATGGAGCATTGGTCTTGTACAACTTTGAAAATGAGACCTGAGTTCAAAGATCTGGTCATACCATGGTTGCCAAAATGATTTTGCACACTCGTCCATATGTTGAAAGTTTATTATCGTTTCAGGAAATTCAGAGTAATGAACCCCGGATTTAGCTCATATTCATGTAACTAATGAATATAACTATCCATGACAGATTCCATCCAACATAGAAACCTTCAAACAGTTGAAATGTTTATTCAACATTCACACTACATAATAGAAACGGGCACACCAAATACACCATCATTCGTGAGTCATAACATGCTCGGTATGTACATTATTGTTTACATTTTAACCAAAAGGGAATTCAAGGGAAGGACTTGTCTGAACTCACTTTTAGGACGTCACATTCAATACAGATGCCTGATTATCATTTTATCAATGATCGATGCTTGGCAATTATTTGAACAAATATAGCCTATCCAACGAAAAGCACGCATGGAGAATGCTATCATTTCCATTACTAGAATTTCCTTTGAACCAAACCGGCCATGGATGTCTTCTGTTTTGCTGAGTTACCTGCAAAGTTAGAAAAATGGGAAAAGGACGACAAAGAAAAAGAAAACAAGATAAAAATTGGTGATCAGAAGAAATGCTAATCGACGGAACAATTAAGAAAAAGTAACCCCTATAGATAATTTCATATGATCGTGGTGAAGAATGGAAAAAATTTCACTATTTCAACATTGAATCATGGAATGGGATTCGATTTTTGTTTGATGCTTGGGCTAAGCATGACATACTTACGAGTGGGAAGGCACCTGAATTTAACAGTTTGAATCAGGTATAAAAGGAAAATGAAAGGCACCATAAATTAAGAAAAGGAGAGAGCATTGTATACTTACAAGTGGGAAGGACTCCTCGCTTGGGTTTGGATAAACATGAAACATTAACTAAGGATTTTATGCACCCACTTGGATTTGGCTTCATCATCATCATCAGTTCTAGTGAGTAAGATGTATGGAGTTGTCGGGCTGTGCCATTTCCTTCTCCGCATATATTTTCTACCAACTCATCCGACACTTCATACAAGCGCACCTCTTTCAAATTGGTTAGATGTTGCCAACCATATGGCAATTTCCTCAACCCTTTGCATCTGAACGCCCTTAGTAGTCGAAGACTAGGCATCACTCCTTTCTCCGTCACAATCTCATTCAACTGAGGACAGCCCCTTATTGTTAAATTCTCAAGCTTTTTTAATCCTTCAACAAAGCATAAGCGCTCTCCTTGAAATGCATTATCTGTAAGATCGAGAGACACCAAATTAGGCAATGCTTGGATGGGAGAAAGTATGTCTTCCCTTAGTTCAGTACGTTGTAGGCTTAGCTGTTTGAGGTTGAGTAGGGTGTTAAGCCAATGTGGCACCTTTTCCAATTTCCCAGCTAGAACTAGCTTCTCGAGGTAAGGAGGAGCTGATGAAAGAGCATCAACCTTTAGAGGATCCCCACGACCTGAACTCAACCTTAAGTGTTGAAGGTGTTCCATTCTTCCAATGGAGAAGCACAAGTCTTTTTCATTGGCTTCCTTTAAGTTATAAAGGCCGAGCCTTGTTAATTGTGTCATTTCTTTAAGTTGCTTAACTAAGGTATCCGTTGCGATCACCTCGCATAAAATTTGCAAACTCTTCATCAAACAAATATTTGGAGGTAAAAGTACAGGCACAAAAAATTGAAGGCTTTTGTCTATTTCAGGATTCACCAAATAGGAAGCACTTAGATGCCACAAATTTTGCAGCTTCACAATTTCATATGGAAGCATCTCAATCTTGGCATTACTGAGGAGTAATGTTTGCAAGTTAAAAAGTTTGCCTATGGATTTTGGAAGCACCTTCACTTGAGTTTTTGTCAAGTTCACGTATCTCAAATTGAATAAATGTCCGAACTCACTTGGTAGCTCAATGATTGGAGCATTTTCTAAATCCAGTACTCTTAACAACTTGAACCCAGATGGCAATGTATTGAATGAAGATTTAGAAATTTCATCAACAACAAAAATCATTAAGGTACGAAGTTGTGATGTACCGTTGCCCGGCTTCATTTCTTTACCCTTTACTTCAATTGAGTGGCGACGAATTCCATTGTCTTCCACTCCTTTTATCCCATCAGAAACAGCAACAAGTTTTTCCTCTTTTGATATTGAAAGTGCAAACTCTCGCACAAGATCATGCATTTTAAATGCCTTGGGCCTTCCGATATGATTCCTAGCTGTGACTTGAAGCATACTTCGGCTAAGGAGCTCCATTAGGTACCTCTCGGCAACCGCTTCTGGTGTTACATCGTTAACATGTTCTACAAAACCTTCTGCCATCCAAAGTCTCTTAAGTCTCTTTCGACCAATCGCATAATCTTCTGGAAACATAGAGCAGTACAAGAAGCCATGCTTGAGCTGAAAAGACAAATCATGGTAACTAAGCAACGAGATAGTTTTCACTAACTCAAGTGCAGCGTTGTTGCTTAGCTCCCAATTCAAGTTATCATAAACCCTCTTCCATTCAGCTATTGACTTCTTTGAAGATATCGAACCGCCTAAAGCCACAATAGCTAAAGGCAAGCCTTCACATTTTTCAACGAGCTTCCTCGCCAATGAATCAAGATGTAATGGACACCCACCAAGATCGGTTGGAAAGGCTCTCTTACAAAAAAGATTCCAAGCTTCATCCTTTCTCAAGGGCTGAATTCGGTGGATATAGCTTACAAACCCAGATTGGAAAGGAGCTACGTCTTCTCTTCGAGTTGTAACCATGACCCTGCTTCCACGCATACCTTCCGGAAGTGCAATGTTGATCTCTTGCCAGAGTTGAATGCTCCACACATCGTCTAAAACAATAAGATACCTTCTGGACTGCAAGTACTGCACAAGTGTCTCCACCAATACTCTGTAGCTCATGGTGTCCACCTTCATTGGAACTTCTTCATTTGTCAGTTTGTAGACTTCTTTTACCATGGATCTAAACAACTCTTCAATTGCATATTGTTGTGAGACAGTGATCCAGGTACAGAAATCAAAATGTTGTTTAACACTTTGTTTGTTGAAAGTGTTGGCAACAAGGGTAGACTTTCCGGAGCCACCCATCCCGACCACGGAAATGACTGTCCGTCGAGGTTCTTCATCCATTAGCCATCCCAACAGCTCGTGTTGTGCCTTTTTGATTCCCACAAGATCATCATCTTTAAAGAAAAGTGATGCCTCGCTCAATCTTGTCTTCCAATCAGGATCATAACTGGAACCCCTTTCTTCTTGTTGTTGATTTCCAAACAGGGGTTTCTCTTTGTAATGCCTTCCATCCTTTTGTTAATACGGTGCAACTTGGCCGCTACCTTATGCCTCATTAACAGATCCACTGGAAAATGAAGAGTTCGTTGGAACAAACTTTTGCAATTGTGACCCCTCCATTGCTGGTGCTTGTTCACGTGATAAGTGAATTCATCAATGGTGTCTTCAACTTCAAATGCAAGGTCCTGTACGTTTTTAACCCGATCTTTCTGTCTCTTACTCTTTGCCCCTTCTCTATCAGCATCCATGAGAGAGGATCTCATGCTTTGTAGTAGGAGCTTCATTTCTTCGATTTCATCAGAAACTCCCCTTAAGGAAGATGCTTCATTCTCTAGGCGTGAGATGAGTTTGCCGACAATAAGATCTACAGTGCTTAAAGCCATTTTTTGTTTAAGAGGCATTCAATGGTTGTCATTAATGTTAAACATTTCATCTTATATTGTACATTTGTTAAAAATCTCAGAAGAAAGATCCTCAATGAACGAGAAAGGAAGGAATCCTAGATTCTTAAATTGCTAATGCAAGATAAGGATCACAAAATTAAGAAGCTAGGATGCGTACAATATCAGAAAGAGACATTGACTATGAAACAATTCCGTTAATGGTGATTGATTCTTATGCATTGTTGTTGGTTAAAGATAAAATCATTGCTTGTCCCCTTTACCAAAAGAAAGGAATACTATTACTTTCTTTATTCTCTCAAGTATCTGTATTCTTCCTCTCTACTCTATCCATATTTAATGGATGCAATCCAAGTTGTAACTCAAATATCCTAACCCATTTTATTAGAACATGTGTTAAAAGAAGTGGCTCAATAATGAAAATCAATTGTTCTCAGAGTTTCAAACCTTGGATTTTTGCAGCTTCCATTTAGTGAGGATTGAGGTGCTCATGGAAACCAGGAGCTGATCAAGTGACAACTTAAAAAGACAATTTGAATAGGCAACTCTAATGAGATTGAAAGCAGTCATGAATAAGAGATTAGTTAATATGGTAATGAAATTAAAATTAATAATAATAAAATAAATTGTATTGAGATGAAAAAATGACGAGCATTAAAATAAAGATTGTATGTAATAAAAAATTTAAATTATTTAATATTTATAAAATTAATAAATAATTAAAAATATTAATTTATTTTTATGTTAAATAATAATTTGTTAATAAATAATTAAAAATTAATAAAATTTGAATAAAATTTATTTATTTGTTTATTATATAACAAAAAATCAAAACAAAAAAGTAAAAGAGACATCTAATATAATATATATTATATATTACAATATATAAAGTTATATGATAAAAATTTTCTTATGCGGATGCCTAGGTAGATGATTTTTTTTAATGACATATAAGATAATACTTATATTATTTTATTTATCAAATAAATATCTTTAATAAATTTTTTAAATTTAATATTTTGGATAATTATTTAAATTTAAATCAAAATCTATCCAAGATTAAAATTTTTACATAAATTTTGAATTCAAATATATTAAATTATAATTTATTTTTTTTTAAATTTAATTACAGTTCAAAATATATATACTTAATAAATTTTTATTTGTTGCCAAATAATTCTATTTAATAAATTATTTAAATTTAATATTTTTGAATAATCATTTAAATTCAAATCAAAATCTATCAAAAATTGAAAATTTAGCATAACTTTTAAATTTAAATATATTAAATTTTAATTTATCATTTTTTCAATTTAATCATGGTTCCAAATATATATGTGTATTTGTGTGTTTAATAAATTATCATCTATTGAAATTAGAATTTGAGAATGAAAATAAAGAGCAATGGGAGAACATCCCATTCAAGCCAAGATTATTTTATTTATTATTATTATAATTAAAAATTGAAGAAGATAACTTTTTCTTTATTTGACAATTATGGTTTATTGGTTTTAATAGGAATTGGCAAAGGCTAAAAAGAAGTGGAAGCCACATTATAATTATGAAAATGTAAGTCTATTTTCTACCTTTATTACTTCTCAAAGTATGGTTTATAATGAAATTAATAATTACGCAAAAAAAAAAAAACTGAAATTTAAATTGGCCAAGTATTAGGATTTATTTCAAACTTATATGATGGTTGACTCTAAGTTAATGAATTATTGACTAGAAAGCATGTAATACTAAAGTAATAAGAGTTTACATTTTTATATGAAAAAAATGAAACATTTGAATGTTGCAAAACAAGTTAGATAAAAATATATTTTTGTTATTGGAAACAAATATAATGTTTTATTTATGTTCTAATTCAAATATTTTTATATTATATATTTGGTTAATTTATTTCTTTCTCTTTAGTCCATTACTTTTTTAATTTTGTTTAAATTGATTATAATTAACTTTTTGTATTATATATTTTTGTTTTATTCATTTCTTTAATTTTTTTATTTTATGTTAATTCATTAACATATTTACTTTTATTACTGTATATTGACAAATTAATATGTAGTCTTATATTCTCAATGTCCTTTTG